TATTATTATTATTGGATTATTGGATTATTATTATTATTATTATTATTATTATTATTATTATTAGGAGTTTATCCTGCAGATTACAGATCTCAAAGAGAAAGGAGAGCTGGGGTTTCACAAGGAAAGAGGGAAAACGGAGCCATTTCTAAATGATTCCAGGAATGTATTGTCGAAGGCTTTCATGGCTGGAATCACTCGGTTCTTGTAGGGTTTTTCGGGCTATAGGGCCATATTCTAGAGGCATTTCTCCTGACGTTTCGCCTGCATCTATGGCAAGCATCCTCAGAGGTAGTGAGGTCCTTGCCATATGCAGGCGAAACGTCAGGAGAAATGCCTCTAGAATATGGCCCTATAGCCCGAAAAACCCTACAGGAACCTAGTGATTCCAGGAATATTTCAGGTTATCTTGGGTTCAACTTGGGTTTGGATGCAGTTTCCTTGCCATTTGTTAAGAATAGCCACCATTCTTAGAGAGCTCCTTATATATTATATTTTAAATATATTATATGTGATATGTATATATAATATATAAAAAACATATTCACATATATTATATATTATGCTTATAATATAGATCTTATATCATGTAATTATTATACATATAATATATAGCATTATATATATATATATAATTATGCAATATATTATATATATAAATTTATTATATAAATATAAATATATATATAATATAATAATAATACAATATATAAAAATGATATATAAGATATGAAAAACCCAACTTTCAAAGTATAAGGACAGCCTCCTGCCTAAATCAAGATTCAGCATGAAATATTTGCAGGTGATGGAAGGCCAAGGTTTTGAGAAATAATACAAATATTGTAAAAATGTTTTAATAATAATAATAATAATAATAATATATTTAGGGATGGGCTTACCTTGAAAAATGGAGCGAAATTTTATGGCAATTTGTAGATACCAAAATGAAATGGAAGTTGCTTTCTTTCATGGAACAATTTCCTTTTTCTTCCTTTGGATGTATCTATCTATATACATAATAAAAGTGAAAATATGTATTTGTGTGCATGGCTGGAGTATCCCCTTATACAAACAAGGTCCCGCCTTCATAAACACTATATGTCCCACTACTCAGGAGACACCAAAGGCCCTCTCTCCAATAACATTGCAGGTTATAGCGAGTGCCGTGAACATGTCCAAGAACCCCGACAGTGTCCTTCACAAACACCACACTGCCCACCACCCAAGTGAAGGCTTTCATATGGGGACTATTTCATCCTAGATTGTATGTTTCCTCCACCACAGGTATCCTAGTGTTTCTGACTCATTGGTGTGGAATTTGCATGACCCCGCCCACTGCCTCTCCCTTAACCCTTCCCTATTATTTACTATGGCACACAGTAAACAGAGGAATTGGTCAGCAACTGAACATACTAGAGAGGTTTGGGGAGAGTTCATCATGATTTAGAGGAGTTGTAGGTCCTGGGATGTGTAGTTCACCTGCAATCAAAGAGCACTCTGAATACCAACGATGGATCTGGAGCTCAGTTGGCACACAGAACCCCCATGACCAAGAAAACATACTGGCGGTCTTTGGAGGGATTTATAGGAGTTGTAGTTCACCTATATCCAAAGCGCACTATGAGCCCAGACAACGATGGATCTGGACCAAACTTGGCATGCATACCCGATATGTCCAAATTTGAATACTGGTGGGTTTTGAGGGGAATTGGCCTGGACATTTTGGAATTGTAGGTCCTGGGATGTATAGTTCACCTGCAATCAAGGAGCACTCTGAATTCCACCAAAGAGGGATCGGGACCAAACTTGGTATGCATACCCGATAGGCCCAAATTGGAATACTGGTGGGTTTTGAGGGGAATTAGCCTGGACATTTTGGAATTGTAGGGACTGGGATTTATAGTTCACCTGCAATCAAGGAGCACTCTGAACTCCACCAAAGAGGGTTCTGGACCAAACTTGGCATGCATATCCAATATGTCTGAATTGGAATACTGGTGGGTTTTGAGGGGAATTAGCCTGGACATTTTGGAATTGTAGGGACTGGGATTTATAGTTCACCTGCAATCAAGGAGCACTCTGAACTCCACCAAAGAGGGTTCTGGACCAAACTTGGCATGCATACCCAATATGTCTGAATTGGAATACTGGTGGGTTTTGAGGGTAATTAGCCTGGACATTTTGGAATTGTAGAGACTAGGATTTATAGTTCACCTGCAATCAATGAGCACTCTGAACTCCACCAAAGAGGGAATTGGACCAAACTTGAAACACAGAGCCCACATGACCAGTAAAATATAGTGGAGGTCTTTGGGGAAAATTTCTCAGTTATACTATGTTAAATATATTTTTATTTCCTTCTATTTATTTGCCTTTATTTATTTTTCTTCCCTATTTTTATATTATTTTCCATTTTTATTTCATTTTATTTTATTTATTTTCCTTACCTTTTTTTTCATATTATTTTCCATATTTTATTTCCTTTTATTTTTATTTATTTTTCTTACCTATTTTTTTCATATTATTTTCCATATTTTATTTCCTTCTATTTGCCTTTTATTTCTTTCTTCCCTATTTTTATATTATTTTCCATTTTATTTCCGTTTATTTATTTTTCCTTCCTTTTTTTCGTATTTTCCACATTTTATTTCCTTCTATTTATTTACCTTTTACTTATTTTAACCTATTTTTATATTATTTTCCAGTATTATTTTCTATATTTTATTTATTTTCCTTTTATTTATTTTTCTTACCTATTTTTATGTTATTTTTCCATATTTTATTTCCTTTTATTTATTTTTCTTCCCTATTTTGTGTATTATTTTCCATATTTTATTTCCTTTTATTTATTATTTTTCTTACCGATTTTTTTCATATTATTTTCCATATTTTATTTTCTTCTATTTAATTGCCTTTTATTTATTTTTCTTATCTATTTTTTCGTATTATTTTCCATATTTTATTTCCTTTTATTTATTTTTCTTACCTATTTTTTGTATTATTTTCCATATTTTATTTTATTTTTCTTTTTATTTATTTTTCTTACCTATTTTTTCATATTTTCCATATTTTATTTCCTTTTATTTATTTTATTTATTTTTCTTCCCTATTTTTCTCTTATTATTTTCCATATTTTATTTCCTTCTATTTATTTTCCTTACCTATTTTTTTATATTATTTTCCATATTTTATTTCCTTTTATTTATTTTATTTTCCTTCCCTATTTTTCCCTTATTATTTTCCATATTTTATTTCCTTTTATTTATTATTTTTCTTACCGATTTTTTTCATATTATTTTCCATATTTTATTTTCTTCTATTTAATTGCCTTTTATTTATTTTTCTTATCTATTTTTTCGTATTATTTTCCATATTTTATTTCCTTTTATTTATTTTTCTTACCTATTTTTGTATTATTTTCCATATTTTATTTTATTTTTATTTATTTTTCTTACCTATTTTTTCATATTTTCCATATTTTATTTCCTTTTATTTATTTTTCTTCCCTATTTTTCTCTTATTATTTTCCATATTTTATTTCCTTCTATTTATTTTCCTTACCTATTTTTTATATTATTTTCCATATTTTATTTCCTTTTATTTATTATTTTTCTTACCGATTTTTTTCATATTATTTTCCATATTTTATTTTCTTCTATTTAATTGCCTTTTATTTATTTTTCTTATCTATTTTTTCGTATTATTTTCCATATTTTATTTCCTTTTATTTATTTTTCTTACCTATTTTTGTATTATTTTCCATATTTTATTTTATTTTTATTTTTATTTTCCTTACCTATTTTTTTATATTATTTTCCATATTTTATTTCCTTTTATTTATTTTATTTATTTTCCTTACCTATTTTTCCCTTATTATTTTCCATATTTTATTTATTTTATTTTTCTTCCCTATTTTTCTCTTATTATTTTCCATATTTTATTTCCTTCTATTTATTTTCCTTACCTATTTTTTTATATTATTTTCCATATTTTATTTCCTTTTATTTATTTTATTTATTTTTCTTCCCTATTTTTCCCTTATTATTTTCCATATTTTATTTCCTTTTATTTATTATTTTTCTTACCGATTTTTTTCATATTATTTTCCATATTTTATTTTCTTCTATTTAATTGCCTTTTATTTATTTTTCTTACCTATTTTTTGTATTATTTTCCATATTTTATTTTATTTTCTTTTTATTTATTTTTCTTACCTATTTTTTTCATATTTTCCATATTTTATTTCCTTTTATTTATTTTTCTTCCCTATTTTTCTCTTATTATTTTCCATATTTTATTTCCTTCTATTTATTTTCCTTACCTATTTTTTATATTATTTTCCATATTTTATTTCCTTTTATTTATTTTCCTTACCTATTTTTCCCTTTTTATTTTCCATATTATTTTTTCTTTCTATTTATTTGCCTTGTTTTTATTTATTTTCCTTGTTTACATGTGATTTTTTCCCCTCCCTTATTTATCTTGGTTTCCTTAAGGTTTCCTTCCCCTCCTTCCTTCGCCTCAGAGGCGCCTTGACTCGGCCACTTCCGCCAAGGCCACGCCCTCACGACAACACCCGAGCCTGTTTCCTCGCAGGACACGCCCCCCAACACTTAATACGCATGCGTAACGGGAGTCTCCTTTCCCCTATACCTCCACCCGCTCCGCCCGTCGCCATGGCAGCGGGCGCCGCTCGGCCGCGCGCTGAGTGGTTGGCCAGGCGAGGGGGCGGGGCCTCGGCGGAAGCCACGCCCCCGAGTCCCTGAGGCTGGGTCAGTCGACGCAGAGCCGCCGAAGGGGGAGGACGCGTGAAGGCGGAAGAGGAAGCCGGAAGCAGGAAGTGGAGGAGGGGGGAAGCACCCCTGCATCGAATGGGGGTCAGTGGGCCTGGAATTATTCTTCTTGTATTTGGATTTATAGATTATGGTATTTTTATACAGCTCATTTAATTTATATATATTATTAAATTTATATATTATTATTATTATTATATATGCTGCTTA